ATTATGTTTATCTAATGAATATAGAAATGTCAATTAATTTTGATTAAAGTCAACCTTCCAAACTTTGATTGATTGATCGCCACTTCCAGAAAATAGTAAATCCTCATTTTAATTTAATATCATGCAAAAAACATAACCTATATGTTATTAATAAGGTTATGAACTAATCCAATCCTTTTAGTTCAATTATTGCCAGCATCTTATTGTTTTGTCTTTAGAACATGAAATAAACGAATTCTATTTATTACTATAAACTAAACATTAGACCTAAGAAGTATGTCCTTACAATTTGTTGACTAATTTGATTGTTCCATTTAGAAAACTCCATACTATAATCTCAAACTTCTCTGTTGATACCATAATTGACCCAGAAGAATCAAAAACTATTACATTACATTTTTCTTTTTATTTGACAGATTAATCAATTAATTTTAATTTGATCTCGCATTCTGATATTTTTACTTAATTACCTTAATTATGTTATTATTGAAAACCTACACTTTTTTATTACTATTATTAAGTTTGAGTAATTTTTTTACAAGATAATTCTAAATTTGATAGTAGTTCTTTAAATTTTGTATATTCTTCAAATGTATTTAATACTTCTAATTTAAGATGTAGTTTGGAAGTCCAACACTGATTTATTTGTTAAATTTCATGAATTAATTATTAAAATTTATCATCAGCTTTATTTTATTTTTAAAGCATAATGTATAATTCCTCTTAAAAACTGTAACAATTTTATAGTGATCCTTTTTATTATAGGTTTTAAATCCAACCCTTCAATATAGTAATCGATTAGTCACATTATTAGATCACAAGTGATTTCATTTGATCTACTTGAACATTTAATTACTCAATTAATTGTATTTAGCTAGTTATTAAATATTCCACTTTTTCCATCTTTTTTATCTAACCTTCTTCAATTCGTGAAATCATTTTCTTTAATCCAACTACTCTTCCATCTAAGTCTGTATTCTCTAAACATTCTGTACATAAGAATCTTTAATTCATTGATAAAGTTGGATCAAGTGCAATAGTAACGACAGGTAGCTTATGTCCTTAAGAACATGAAAAATCTTTTTCATTTTCTATCATTTTTGGTTTAAACATTTTAAATTAATATAATTTATTGATAATTAATCGAAATATTTGTTTTAGATATCTTTCCTGTTAAAATTCTTCACTCAAAAATATCAAAGAAAAGCATACAAAGATTTTTCCAAACTTTGTAAAATATCCTATCTTATATAGGAACGGTATAGCCTTATAAAAGGAAAATTTTGAAATTTATTTTCAAACCTTAAATAATAGGATGAGAAGTTTGTTGACCTAAAAATAGCTTCCTTTTGTCTTGTAGGAATCATAGAAATGCTAAGAGTAGAAAATGCAAACTCTCTTCTTTGAGAATAACTAAGAAATTTAAAATATTCATAAATATCAACTAATGAGATTTTGCACATTTACGAAATGACTGTTTTTAATCAACTTAATGTAAACAATAAAATTAATGCATTATAGGTTTTTTAGAAACAAAAAAATTTTCATAAAAAGGTTTGAAATAACATCGATATTCTAAGATTGAATTTGCAAGAAAATTTAACAAATAAACAGAGATCAGAGATCAGAGATCTTATGGAGATTTATATATTCAAAATAATAATAATCTCACATAACGAAATCGTAATCTTTAAACAAAAAGATATCAAACAAATTTGAATGATTTTATCTTATATTGAATAAGATGAAGACATATTTAAAATTCAATTTAAAAGAAAAAAATCTCGCAAATAAGGCAAACGAGGAATCAGATGGTGTGGGAATTAGGTAAAAAACTAAGGAATTTGGTAACTAGAGGAAATGTAAAAATATATTTGCTATTTAATAAATAAATTGTCTTGATTAATAAAGTAATTATCCAAAATAATTCATTTTTATATATATTATTATTATGAATAAAATTAAATAATATTTTAAATGGATTAGGTAAGAAAAATTCCTTCCTAATAGTATTATAATTTACAATCATACTGATCTCTTGTTTCTCAGCTAATTGGACATTCAAAATATTGTCTCAATATTTCCAAATTAAGAAATAGACAGAGAATTACAAGACATGAATCAGATTATAGCAGAATCTCAAGTATTGTGGAATAGAGCAAAGAAAGTTGAACTAATTACATTTCAAATTAAAATATAATAGAAAAATATTAAAACTAGTTATCATATTAATCCTTAAATATCTGTGAAAAGATAACCAAATGATTAGAAAAGTATCAAATGAAAAAGGTTGGTTGTAGTTTGCTTCCAATACATTATTTTCTTGGTATATGATTCGTAAATTGTTATCAAAATTTAATCCAAACATCCCCATAGAGGCAGATTATTAATTCATCATATTACTTTTGTTGTAGCAGAATGAATTACTGCAAAGTCCATCTAAATTAATGGTTCTAAATAAAAGAAAGGCTTTTAAAGCAACATCCTAATATACTGAAGTAGGCAAGGTGAAATGCTGATAAATAAGATTATTTATTGAAGAATTTTGGAAGAAATGGCTTAATTTTCACTTTGACGAACTGCAAAAAATATCAGACTCCTAAACTTAAAATAACATACTGTAAAGGTCGACCATATAGATATTAATTAGAATAGAATTATTGGGAACAACTCTAGAATATTAGTTAAAAGAAACTATTGATTAGGATAAATCAAATAATAAGTCTTCTCTTAATTATAAAAATTTAGTAGCCTCATCATTTAAACCAAATCTTCTTCCTCAATAACAAGAAAAAAGATAACCCCTTGCTTAAGATTAAAAATCTATGGTCAATAATTGAGAACCTTTAATGGAATGAGACAATCATCTTAAGATCAAATTTAAGAACTCTATTGGTTTTAAAATACGTCAGAAAGAAGAAGAACTACAATAATGCTTGGAAAGAAATATTACTTCTTGGCCAGAAGAAGTCAGGATGTTTCAACTTTTTTCATGCAAGCCTAAAATTTGATGAACAATCAATAGATATATGTGAGGAACCAAGTTTGCTAGTTAAGGGGAATTAATGATAACCCTAACTTCAAGATTACAAGATTCTTTATGCACTGCAATCCTTTCAGTGAAGAAGTGTTATATAAATACTTTAGCAATCAGATAAATACATCCATAATGTGTTTATAAAATTGGTTGGTGGATTCTTAGAAGTTCTTCTAATGATGGATGGCTTAGTAGACTGGACAACTTATTTGAAATTCCTGAAGCAAAGCAGCTATTAATTAGGATACTTGCATTATTGTTCTGCCCTATTTAAATAAATTTCCTTCATAAGTATTAATAAATAGACTTAAAAGCTGGAATTGCAAATTTGATTTTTTTACAAAAAATGCATCATCAGTGTAACAGATAAGCTTGGCATCTGTGCTGATACATGTACAAATATCTTCGATGTAATACTATTGTTGCTTTTGAGTTAATAGCATCATAAATTCCTTATTATTTAAATTTCTTTATAAGTACTAGCTGTGATTAGTGCGATGGCTTCATGGGTCATTGTGATCCTTTACATACGCACCAAGCCTAATGCTAGTTCTTAGGATGTCATCATCTCAATAATTTCAAGTTAAATATGTATCGATACTATTTTTAATTTTTGCAATATATTTAAAATGTCTGATATAATCTGTCTGGTGCTATAGATATATTTAATTTGGAAAATAATAAATTCAAATTGGAAGCAGATGAATTCAGAGACATTATATTAATCTAGTAAATATTATTCACCTCAAGAAAATAATCAAAATTAAACCACCTTGCAAAATTTATACGATTAAATCATGCAAATATTCTAAAATTGAAATTCTCTTAAATGATCTTTTCCCCCTATACATTTTGTAGTCACTTCTAATGTTTTTGATGTAGATTAAGGTATTTTAAAATATTTTAGAATATTTATTAGGAAGAAATGAGGACTCAAAAATAATGGTTGCCAAAGTTTATTTTAATAGTTTGGCAGTTTCTAATTTACATGCTAGTTTTAATTATTGATAGGCTTTATATCTAAATAATCATATTTTGCGATGGGGATAGGTTAAGTGTGGAGTTAATTTCGATTCCACCTGAAATACTACCCTTTTGATTGTTTAATTAATAAATCATCACCCTTATCTTAATAACAGATTCACGCACATTAATTTTTTTAAGTCAATCATAGTATATGTAAATAAACCAAAATTTATTCTTGGGTCCTATTGATTTGATACAGAATAGAAAAGAGTAAAGGCTAGTCCTTAATGATTTTGTGATAGATCAGTGAGATTGTTATTCAGCAAGATTGAGGTCCTAGTAAATCTTCAACTTTCCTCAATCCAATCATCAACTCTATCTTAAATTTATAACTCTGTATTACCTTCGTTTTAAACCTAATTTTTTTTGACACCCATTTAACACTTCATAATTCTTTTAATATACTCTAGCAAAATTAATTAATTATGAACAAAATATTTTGAGATTATAAAGTTTGAGAAGACTATTTTTATAAGGAAAGACATACGAGCTATAATTAAAACAAATAATAGAATTTGCCTGATGATAGAAAAGGCAACTATAAATAATAAATATCGAGAACTACTATGAAAATTAATTCACTAAATCAAAAAAAATAAATGAGAATATTCAGATTGTAGTATAGGAAATGAAGCAGGTGATGTCAGGTCAAACTATAATTTTCCATGCAATTACCCTGAAATTAAAACAAAACTAGAATAGCAAAAACTGGATTTGAGTAAGGAAACTTGAGAAACCTGTGTTCTAATGCAACGAGACTCTATAGGATTCATAATCTGATGTATAATAAATCTTATTATATATCTCATATATC